ATTTTGTGAATTGAAGTGTTAGTTGAAATTAAGCTATTAATGCGTTGTCATAGTTTTTTTTTTTTTTTTCTTTTGAACATTTATGATGTCAATTTAGGAATTAATTTATTAAGAGTTGCATTATTAGTTGAAATTTGGTTATAGTCATGCATTGAGTTGCTCTTGTGTTGCCTCTTTTCTCGTAGGTTTTCAACAACATGAATTATTATTGATTTTCTTATTCTAATTTTAGTTTCTCGTAACTAGCTTGGCCACATCTTGTAAAAGTCATTTAGAACTTTGGAATTAATTTTTCTATCTTCTTATTGTTGAAGAAATCATCTATGATGACTGTGGCTTTTGACCCATGATGTTGGGAACACTTCTACATCCCTACTTATATAGTGTATTGGACTATAACAGTAAGAATTTGGTGTTTTTCGAAGGTCATTATGTAATTGTGATTCTTCGATATAGTTATAATTTGGTTTTGTTCTTTGGTTGCTGAGAATTAGTAGAAAAGTAAGCGGATTTATGTATTTAGCATTCGTGAAATGGTGATTGAATTTGATTTTGATAGTTTATATTGTTTGATTTGTGAGAATTCATAGGTAATTAAATGAATTTTTCGGTTAAGTAGTCGTGTGTTGGTGATTGAATTGGGTTTTGATAATTTATGAATAAACTTCATTTTTTTCTTTGACATATTTGTAGTGGAGTATTACTATGATAGTTTCAATACTTGATTGCTAAGAAATTGAAAAAAATATATGAATTTGATCTTCAATTGGTGGGTTTTTACAGTATTTAGTTGATATTGGTATTGTTGTGTTAGTGAATTGAATGGGTTTTGATAAATTAAGTACTTCGATAAATGGTGTAGACTAATGTGTCTTAAATATTGTTCTTTGTACTGCTACACAAGTAAAATGTATGAGTATATTTGTAGTTGACATAGTTGTGAGTTGTTCATGTTTTTTGTATTGATGGGTTTTTTTTGTGTGTTTTTGTGCAAGGATTTGGTAGATTGTCTATGGTGGTTGTGTTTGTGGCATAGTCAATTGCTTATGTGTTTCCAACTTGGACAAATGAACTCACTTTTAAGTTGTTTTTCTTTTCATTTCAATTAATATGAGTGTATTATTGAAACACATAAGTGATTGAGTTTTTATTTTTATTTGTTTTTTGGTTTTGCATAATTTGATTCTTAGGTAATTGAGGTTTGTTTGAATCCTACTCAAAAGAAATAGTTGAAGTGATTGACGTAGTTTGCACTTAATTGCATGTAATCAAAAGACCAAGCTTGCACCAGCAGTTAGAAAAACTTATTTGGCAGGATGGAGTGATGCACTTTGGATGTGAGGCGATGACCCCCCGCTTTTTTCTCAAATTTGTTGATTATGTTGTATGGCAGTACCCGTTTAATGATTTGTTTCAAAGACGCACACACAGAGACTCATCTTTTTAACCCCCTCCCCTCTTTACGTTGACCTCCTCCCTCTATCTCTCTCTCTCTCTGTAAGAACACACATAAACACACACACACAGGACTACCCCTTCCCAACATACGCATCGCACAATCTGTCTCCATAATACTGTATTTATTTGTTTTGGATTTGTTGTTAACACTGTTAATGTCGAAATCTATCTGATTAGCAAGCTTTTATTTGTGTCTTAAAATCAACATATACCACAAATTAAAATACTCGATCAAAAAATTTGAAATTCACAATGTAGTAGAAATAAAACCAAAGGTTGAAACCAGTAGAAATTCAAAGTGAAATTCAATGTAGTAGTACATATTGAATTATGTGCTATAAATTGGGTCTTTCTTCTTATTGGCTTAGTCTAATTGGATTTTTTTTATTCTGCACAGTAAATTTCTTTGATTGGTGGGTTAAAGGCTTTGACTCTAAATTTCTTCACATTTGTGAATCATATTTGCAGGTATTTTTTTTTTCTGTTTGGTATAATTTGGGTTGTGAATAGTCTTTTGTTGATCCAGTTAATTGAATTCTATTTTTTTTTATTTTACGTTTATGAGTTTTTTTTCCCTTTCTCTTTAGTTTCCTTAATTTTTAGCTTTTGCTTAGTTAATAAAAATACTTTAGATGTTATAAAACTTATTGCAATGTATAATTTCTATTAGATTATGACATACTTTCTTTGCCTTTTTAAGTATTTCAATTATACTCTTGATGGATTGGGATTTCAATTTCCTTTTCGTTTTGGTATATCAAGTAACTAGGTTTGTCAAATGAATTGCTTGCATTTGGAATTCTATGTTAAGTGCAACTTTTTGATGTCTATTGGTTAAAAAATTTCCATGTTTGCTGGTAGACGATTGTCATATTGAATGAATCACACTTGAAAGAAGAAGAAGGTTATAATAGTTACACATGTTTAGATGATTTTTTTTGGACTTCTTCCAAGTACCTTGCATTTTATGGATGAGATTCTGTAAACAATAAGAAACCTAATTCTTGTATCACTGCACATAAATCTTTGTTATTTATTTGCATTTTGTTTTTGAAATATTGAGTTACTTCTATGTCCTAATTTAATTTTGAATTGAACATTTCTCAGGTTATCCTTGGAACCAAGTCTGTGGAATAGAAGTCACTCAATTGTGTTGCATCTTCTACTACAATCTTTACATTCAATCGATAATTCATTTTTTTGGCACTTTTTGGTAATTGTAAATGATGACATGTGGTTTTTTTTTTTGGGGAACTGTCGTGTGGTAGTGATATATGGTATATTGTGTTAGAATCTTCAGATTATCTATTATGTTATTGATGTTGAATGGTGGCGTGATGATGGGTCTGACAATTTCGTTGGGCCGTATTCTTTTAGACACTTGGTAACCTTAAGAAGTGCCAATTACTAGCCTTTTAAGTTACAACTATGAAATTTAGAAATTGTACGCATGCAGATATTTTTCGGGGTCTTGCTTTCATAGAAAACTATATCAATGTTAAGTATTCGTATTATGTTGTTGTTGTGGTTAGTTTGTATAGGAATAGTTTTCAGTTGTTTTAGATACATAAAAAAAGTATGTTATTTATTTTTTAACCACATCCATTATTATTGTGTTTTTTTTGGTAATTAGTAAATAGTTATATTTAGGCCTAATCATAGTTAATATTATTATGTTTTTGTGGTAGTCAGTAAATAATTATGTTTAGGCAAGATGATAGTAAAAATTATTATGTTGTTGTAGTATTTGGTACATAGTTGGATTTTAGCTTGCATATGACATAGTTTGGGTATGATTATGAGATATATACGTTTTGTAAACAGGTTGATATATTTGTGACATTATATTTTGAGGGGATAATTTTTCAAAAATTTAAAAGTTTCTTACATTGATTTCAATTTCTCTTATTAATATAAAGCAAAAGGGAGTTTAGTTTTTGGATGTAGTAAATTTTAGGATAACCCAAAATGTAATTCAAGGGCACATAATTTTGAATTGGGCGAAGTTTGACTTTTGTTCATTCATTGAGGTAGAAGTTGATTTAGAGTAGTTTATGTCATTTTTGTGTGTTTTTAAAGTTGTCTGTAATTGAAAAATTTATGGGTTTATTCCATTTTTTTTAAGAAAACGGTTGTATCAAATAATCTTGTTTGGTTTGTTATTTTTACAAGTATTCATATAGTTGTTCTTGTAGGAAGAATGGTTTTCTATTGATGCATAAATTGTTGTACGTACACATACATTTTCCTTGGTCAGTATAGGCATCACTAATTATTTTGTTGTCTTCATTTAGAATAGATAGAAAATTGATTGAATTTGNCAAATTATTTTGTGGTCTTCATTTAGAATAGATAGAAAATTGATTGAATTTGTGTAATATAAGTTGAGGATTGTCATACAGGTTTTATAATTTATTTGTTTAGTTAATATTTTTTAGATGGTAGATTGTATAATTAGTATTTTATTAATTATCTATAGTTTATTGGGATCTTATTTTTAGGGAAAATTTTGTCCAAATATCATTAAAAGAACAAAAAAAAATTGACTATTTTTGTTTTGAGTAATGCTACATAGACTTAAAAATTAGACTTGATAATCTCAACCATTGAATAGGTAGTAGGTAACAATAAATGTTGAGACTTACAGTGAAATCAATAGTTTAGATTATCAAGTCTAGTTTTTAAGTCTACTTTTTAAGTCCATGTAATATTTGCTCGTTTGTTTTTCATATATGGTATATTTAGGTTTTACTATTCTTTCTAATAATTTAAACGAAGGCATTTTGACCCATTTTATTTTACAAAAGTCATGATATTAAAATTGCAGTTAAGACTTTTAGTTTAATGCGTGTTTATGTTCAGTGTTTAATTGTTTCATGTTTAAGAAGAATGTTCAATTTTTTTTTAATTGTATAGTACCTTTAGGCACGGGTTATGAGAATAGTTTCGACTTTCAACTTACTAAACGTTTAAGTTTGTGTTTAATTATTTCATGTCTAAATTTAATTTTCAATGTTTTTTAAATTGCATTGTGCCTTCGGTCCCTAATGTAGAATTAAAAAGAGACGCATGGGACGCATGGGTATTCTCTGCTCCCCTTCCCAAAGTCTTTTCCTCCTCCGCTTCTTCCAACTTCTCTTCGTCTTCCAATGCCCTCATCTTAATACCAATTTACCCTCTCTCTCTCTCTCTTTCTCTCCACAGCACAGAGGATTTTCCATTTTAAGATTTTATACAAATCTGCGAGACCACCATTACTACCGGCAGAGGCAATCAGAAGGTAGCGATTTTCTCTTCATTTTGCTAAATAATTATTTGTTGATCTATCGACGAGTTTTTTCATCGAAGAATTTGTATCTATCCTTCGTTTATTTGCTGATTTCTTGTTAGTGTAAGCTTTAACTTTATACAATATTCTAAGGGACTCCTATCCCTATCCAGAACTATAGAGTTTATTTGATATGCAATGATTTTCATCTGAGTCATCGGCTCGCCCTCACCTTCAACATCACCGGTTCACTGTCTCTTGTATAGAAATTGATATGGCGTCATCTTCGAATTTAATCTCCGATCCCCAATCGATATCCAGCTCCAGCCGGTCGTCAGAATTAAAGAACAAAAGGCGAAGAAAAGTAATAACTGATAATCAAATAGAACAAGTCAAAATCAATCCAACACGATGGAAATCCATTGCCGAACAACAGATCTATTCCACCAAGCTCATCGACGGCCTCCGTCAAGTCCGTCGAAGCTTCAATTCTACGGCAATTCCTCCCGTCACAACTCGCCTTATCCGAGAGACCGCCGACAGAGTTCTCGCCGTTGCAGCCAAAGCAAGAACTCGATGGAGCAGAGCCATTCTCACGTCCCGGCTCCGTGTTAAACTCAATCAAAAACACTAAAAGCACAGGAAATTAGTCACGGTGACCGGAGATATTTGTTCGAATAAGCCGGTGGTCAACAAGAGGTTGCCGCCGTTACAGCGGAAGGTTAAGGTTCTTCGCCGGTTAGTTCCTGGTTGCCGGAAATTATCATTCCCGAATCTTCTTGAAGAAACCACAGACTATATAGCCGCTTTGGAGATGCAAGTCCAAGCTCTCACCGGGCTCCTCACCGGCCGTAACACTAGCCACTCCTTCTGATCATCTCATCTCGGCTCGGCTCAAATTCATCTTAGCCTTGGTTAATTACATTTCTTTGCCCTTTTTTCCAATTTTTTCAAAACCCTTTTTTATAATGGAGTTCTTAAATTCGTGTATTTTATGGTAGTAACAATCATTTAAATGATACTTTTTCATAAAAATTTAAATAACATTTTTTCATAAAAAATTTAAATTATATGTATAATTAAATTGAATAAAAAATTGTGTAATTTTAATTATTTTCAAATCTAATTATTCCTCTAGTATATAATATGTTATTTCTTTAAATATTTCTCTGACTCCTTATATATTTCAACTTTTGTTTATAATAAATATTTATTATAAGATTGTCATTATTGAGTATTTGTATATCTAATTAAAATTTTATTTTTTCATATAAGTATAGACATATATATAAAAAATTGTAGACAAGTCTACTACTAATAAATTAGTATAAAATAATTTAAAAATCAAATATGATTTACAAAGAGTCTAAAAAAAAATAGAAGTCAAATAGGTATAAGAAATAAAAATTAAATTATAGTAATATAGAGTTTAGATTTTAAATACTGCTAATAAAAGAGTTCAAAAAAAAATAGGTATATAAAATAAAAATTAGAGGAAATTAATATTTAGGTATGATTGACTTTATAATAAAATTTAAGGATAAAATATGAAATCAAAATTTTTTTTTTTACAAATGTTGATATTTTGAAGGACTAGTTGATACATGCATGCGTTGCACACTGATAATTTTAAATTATAATTTTGGTTTTTAGTTTTCTCCAAATCAAAATATATGATCACCAATGAAATTCGCGATTAAAGTCTTACCCGCTAATCACAAATATGCCAATAATTATGTCTAATGATTTTTCTTATGTAAAATGCAAAAAAAACAATCTTCTAATAAATAGACCTAATGAGTAGCTAATGTTGAAGCATCTTCAAAACACTTCAAAAAAATATTTCATAAAATTGTTTGTTCAAAAGACTTGGATCGAGCATACTATGAATAAACATTCTATGACTTGGATCGAACATGTTATGAATAAACATTTTATGATTTTGGATCAAGCATGTTATGAATAAACATTTTATGCTATATGATTGCTTGACAAAATTCCTTGTAGTTTCCTCACCTCTAAACATCACCTTTTAGCATGTATAATTTATGGATGAAGGGGAGTGTCACTCTCCTATGGGTGATGTCAAAAGAAAGGACAAGGAGATAGGGTAAAATGAAATGATGACAATGTGATGTGTAAATGCACAAAAAGTGTGTGTGTATACAAAAGTGCTCCCCAAGCGCATGGAGACTTTTGCGAGTTGTGTTTTACTTGGTGTTATTTCAAGGTCGTTTCCAAAGGGAAGGAAGTAAACCGAGGGGAAGGTGATTTTGGGAAAAAGAAAGTGTAAAATCTTTGGTTGTTGGAAGTTGTTTGGTAAAGTTTGTTTTGATGCTAATAAAATGAGAAACAAATGTTAGCAAATTCAAGAGGTCACTCTAATAGGAATATCATCTCAACTGAAAACCCTCCTCCAATAGAGCATGAATGAACGATTGATTCGTGGGAAGCTAGGGATAAAATTAGTGAATATCTAAGCATAAACCGTGACTAGGCCTACGAAATATCAAAAACTCACCAAGTTATTCAACCTCAATCCAGTCAAACCGAACCATTGGACTTTGAAAGAAGCGAAGAAAATGAGTTGAAATGATATACCCAAGTGGAGGTTTCCTTTGGTTTTGCCAACTAAGAGATTTAGCTACTCATGCTTAAAATGAAATTGACAATGTAATGAAAATGCATTGCAAAGATATGAAATTCTAGAGCAACTAGATACAAGAAAACATAAGCTATAAGAGAGTATATTGAATACCCATTTGAAAACTAAGAAAATGAAAAAGTTTGATACATTAATGGTGAAAGCTTTAAAAGGGCATTAAACTTGCATTTAACTTTAAAGAAAACAACATTAATGACATTAAATGAAGTTCTAAGGATTCATATCAGAGATTATAAGACAATGTATTGAAAGAAAATGCAAAAATCTCAATTTTTTCTCACTAGACACTATTCATCATCTTCTACCAGACCTTCTCTCTCTATATCTCTTATATTCCATAGAATCTTGAACCAATGAAGTCTTTGCCTGCCAAAAAAGTGCATGAAATGATGCCCTAGACTCCAGAAGTGACCTCCATCCGTAGGGGTGTAGGAGGAATGGGCTGGACAGAGGGGTTACAGAGCTTGTTTGCACACCCAGCTCCTCTTCTCTTCTCTCTCCTCATTAATGGCCAAGCTTCCAAAAGTCCAAGATAGGTGTCCCAAGGGGTGTTCTGAGTGTTGGGCTTGTCAGGGAGTTGCAGGAGGATGTCTTGGTGGGACCCTCAAAGTAGCAGATCTGAGTTGCAGAGCATTTGGACAGATAAGGCAAAACATACCGATACGC